GCCATAGTTCTCCTCATGTTTTTTTTTCCTGCCGTTTTGTTTTCAGACACAAAAAGAAGGCAAAAAACACAGCCACTTAAATGTGCCTTCCAAAGTGGCATTTAAGGTTTAATGATGCTGCCGCTGCCGCTGCTGATGTTTTACCGCAAACAATTGCAACTAACTATTTTTAACTATTGCAATTAAAGTAGTTTAAATATAGTTTAAACGAAAAAAAGAGAAAAAAGTGCAGCCTCGCAAAAATGTTAAAACAGTAACGGACAATGTGAAGGAACTTTTACTGAATGGCCTCATTATTTTAACGCATCACTTCAGGTCACAAAAAAAAAAAAAAACTATAAAAACCAAGTGTTTTTTTACACACTTGCAAAGTATCTAAGCTGAAGCACACATACACACACTAGCAAGTAAGCTACCTCTATAAAAGCCACTCGGCTGTAAATATTATTAACATCTTTAGAGTAATTAATTTATGTTCATTACATTCCATTGGGGGGTCTTTGCTTTGGCTCTTCCGACAAAGCCTCTATTTATATGTTTGTCTCTGTGTCAGGTGAGTAGTTTTCCTTTTTTATTTCTACATTTATTGCTTTATTATTGACATTTATTGGCTTTTAATATTGCAGACATTATCCGTCTTCAACATCGTCATTCGTACGAACACTATTACTACGAAGTTAGCATGCCACCGAGCCAAACATTTCCTGGACTTTCGCTCCATTTAATCACTCACTCCATGCCAACACCAGCACAAGAACGACACCAGTAGCAACGTCGGCAGAGCAGTAGCTGCGGCCACACTCTCGATATTAGATACCGTTTTCCTAGAAATACTACTCGTCGTCGTGGTCGTAGTACCACCATTTAACACGTGACTAATTCAAAAGGTATTGTTTGTTGTAATAATTAAGTCAACACGTCGTTGCCATTCCATTTTCACTGCATATTTCGGAACGAACTCCCTGCGTTTAGCATTTCACCCGTCAAGAACGAACACCGAGGCGGACTAGTTTCAGGCAAACGCCAGCACAATCCTGTTAGGTGAAATTTATGGAAATTATTGTGCAAATTGTGGGCTTATTTGGGCTGTTGTTGTTATTGTTTAGTTTGTGTTATTTCTCTTATTTCTTGGCTCTCTTTTTTTGTTGTTTGAGCTCTTAATGGTTGTGAGATGGTTACCGGTGACCAACATTGTTTACAGTTTCTGTTTGCTAGTGCAAAAATTGTTGTGAAAGAGAGTATTGAGGAGAAAGAGACAACATTTCTCTTCTGAGATTTGTGAAAGGTTAGTTTTAAATGGAATTTACATTGTGAGTCGTAAAATATTCAATGGAGACTGAAAGACTCCTAAATGGTTTAAAGGATTGTTTAATCCAGATCAGAATGAGAATAACACTTTTCTTTAAAAACCCATGTCTGAGAAAAAGGAAAATGGATTCGAAGTTACGGATTTGAGGTTTTGGATTTTTAAGCTAACCATGACCAGCACAATATTACTTTTCTCAATGAAAGGCAGCTAAAATGAGAAAGACATTTAGAATGGGTATTTTTTAAGGATTGAAGAGGCCCATGAAACGCAAGCGCGTACGAATTAAACACGTTATTGAATATGATCCATAGGACTCAATGTTTCATATTGTTTTATGTCCCTGTCCATTCAAAGGTAGGCGCATCTTTGCTGTCAGATTGGTGGAGCCGTAGGCCTTGTGTAGGATATTCTCATATCCCTAAACCAGAAGCGTTTAGATCACCTCGAAAATTATTCAAATTTATTGTTCGACTTCTTTTTGCATAAATAATATAAGATAAAGAGTATGATGGAGAAACATCACACATAAAGATAGAAATACATAATTTAGAAGCGAAATTCCAGATAGAACTAACGGAGGCCCCAGTTGACAAGGAATAAAATCTTTGAACAAGAAATCTTAGAAGTTGTCACATGATTATTATAAAATAATAAAAGATAGGGTGTAGGACATGATGGGTAAGAATTTAACAGTGTTGCATATCGACTCATAGTTCATCATAGTTCCCTATAAAACTATAATAAACACACGGGTCACAGGAATATTTGGTGTATGGCACCTTTACAGAATAACATGCTCTCTCTCTTTCTATCTCTTTGTATTCCATGATATAAAAACATAAACAAACAGTCAAGTGAGAGGACAAGTAGAATACCACAAATGCGAGTGGTGGAAAATGCGCAAGACTCAAACCGAAAGTTGTACGATTTATTGTACGATTTGGGGTAATATTTACAAAATCCATCTGTGTGTATAACATTGTGAGATATACAAATAAAAACCAGTAAAGAAAATCCTTAAGTCGGGTGGGCCGACTTTATGATACCCTACACCCCTTTGCATATTTAGTAGAACTTCGAATAACAAATAATAGTTTTTGTGAGGAATTTTTGAGAATTAAATCATACCAACTAAGATAGTTGTAATTAAAAGGCCAAAGGAACTAATATATGAGATGAATATCCTCCTCTGAATCGATTTCTACTAAATTTACTGGGACATTTGTGACTTTTCAATTCCGGCTGGTATTACTCATTTAACAATTAACTTGAAAGCGGATAAAGATATACTTATATCGGAGCTATGTATATCCATATCTGGACCGATCTCGATAAAATTTGCAAAGGAGTTTCTGAGTAGTATTTGATATATTTCTCCGAATATCGTTACTACAAAGTGTGTATTACGGGTGTGCGGGACAAGTTCCACAAATCGGATGAACAATATATATAAGAGTTATAGTAATATCTGCACCGATTTTCACCAAATTTGACGTGATAGTTTCTAGACTCAATTTGGTTGTAAGTGCCAAATTTCATCCGATTTGAGCTAATATTACACGTTTGGTGCACAATAAAAAGCAAATCGGACGAAGATATTATGGCAGCTATATCCAAATCTGAACCGATCCCGACAAAATTAGGCAAAGGTATTTCTGAGGTGTATTTGATATATTTCCCCAAATATCGTTGTTACAGAGTACTTATTACGGCTGCAGAGGACAACAATAACAAATCGGAGAAATAATATATATTGGAGATATAGCTATATATGAACCGATTTCGATCAAATTTGGTATACCTTTTTTAAGGCTTTATGTGGGCCTATGTGCGAAATTCCAAAAAAATGCGATGATATTACACATTTTGTGCACAATAAAAGAAAAATCGGACGAAGATATATATGGGAGCTATATCGAAATTTTGAACGATTATCTCCAGTTTCAATAGGGTTCGTCCTTGGCCCAAACAAATGATTTGTGCAAAATTTCATCTTGATCGGGAAGTAAATGCGAGCTGTACTTTGTTTACAAGAATAGATGGACAAACGGACGGACATGCATACATCGACTCAGAATGTGATTCTATGCAGATCATCAAAGGGGAATATAGGTCTATCTCGTTTCCTTTTGTCCCGTTACAAACAAATGCACAAAGATATAATACCCTGACCATCTTGTGGTGTAGGGTATAAACATTGACAGTAGACGTAGCGTGTTGTTGTACTCTTTAGAAAACGTCTTCCAATCAGTAAGAGTCAGTTTGGTATGAACATGATCATATGTGTTTATATACCCTTTTCGGAGGAGGATATATACAGCCTTTGTACCCTTTCCAGGGGAGGTGCCGTAAAAAATTGAAACAACATATCCTATTTTGATACTAGATCTTAAGTTTGTAGGAATAATGTATTGTGCGAACATTGATGAGATCTGGGGAAAAATTTCGCATTTTATAAAAAGTATTTGTATTAAGAATATTGATCCTTTGTGAGTTAAGAAATAGAAGGAGTGCACACAATATATTACTTTTTATGCCAAATGGAGGGAGGTATGAATATATATACATCGCCAAGACCTCGCAATTACTTTATACAAGAGCCTCATCATCATACAAAGCTTTATCAATACACGGAACTATATTATTTTGCTAGTATCGTTTCTACAACAAGCCATACACTCTCTACCCATATGGCTCTCTTTTCGAAAAATGTTCTCAAATTTGCCTAGATTGTTACTCATTGCTATACTGTTCTCTGTGAAAGAGAAGGAGAGAACAACATTACTTTCTGCTCTGTGTAATTTTTTTTTGGCAGAGTAGTAAAAAACAATAACATCACTGGAAAATACCGGGAAAATATGGAAAATCTACAGATGGAAATTAAATGGAGAGAACACGAAGCTAAAGTAAAGTTGTGAGTAAGTGCTGTGGCATGGTGTTGTTATTGTTGCAGTCACAATCAAAAGGTAGCTGTAGATATGGCCGTTCACTTCATTGGTGTTTCTTGGAATGATGCCATATAGACACACACACAACCAACGAATACATATATATATCTGTACAAATAATTGTATACATATATATATATGTGAAGATGTACATACACATCCATGGCAAAAGGCTGAAACGTGTTTTGCAGGCAGACAAAACTGATGACGTCAATGGCATGTCAATGCATTTAATGATGATGGCAACAACAAAGCATGGCATGCCAAAAAGAAGCACGAGATCTACTCGGCCACTATTGCTGCTGCTTCTGCCTTTTCTTTTCCTGCCGCTCAGGTTATGATGATGATGATGGGGAATGGGGGATGGTGGCTGGTGATGTCGATGGCGGCGCTTTTGCTGATAATGATGATGATGGCGGTGGCAATGGCAGACAATGACGACAATGATTACTATTAAAATAATGATGATTATGGTGTTTACATTCAAAAGTATAGCAGCAGCAGCAGTAGCAACAACAACAACAACACCAACTATAATAGTAGTGAGCAGAGAAAAATTATAAGCAATGATTGTTGGAGTATTTTCTTTTTTTGCTTCGCCTGCCTTGTGGGAGTGGAGGAATTTCCTTCATTGGCAGTTTTTCTCGGCTTTCTTGGCTGTGCGTGTGTCGGTGTGCATTTTCAATATTGAGGGCGATTGAGTTTAGGTTGTTTACCTCGGCAAAAGTTTTGATTTTTCTGTGTTTTCTTTTTTTTGTGTAGCTGCCTTATGATGGGCTGCTGTTGCCGGCACTGCACTTTCTGTGCTGCTTTACACTGTTGTCGTTATTGTTGTTGTTTAATGGGGTCGAGTTCATCTATGTTTGTATATGTTTGAAGGGGGGAGGCTTTGTTCGTATTATGATTTTTATTATTATTCCCTTGCAATGTAATTGAACTCGATTTGTGAATTTGTAACGAACTTTATTTTGATGGTTATGTTAGTGGAGCAAGTTTTCGTTTTTTTTTTTTTTTGGTGAAAAAATTTCACTTTTTGGCCTCATTTTCGAATTCAACAAATTTTATTTGTAGCTATGCAATTAAAGAATAAGCTTTAAGTCAATTTCGATTGAGCATAAATGGCCAAAACTTTGGGACCCTTAGCCAGTGATATATCCGCTTTGCCATCAGCTCCCACCATTACCTTAAGGCCAGTACAAGAGTTGCAAGATTTCCTGCCAGATATAATATCACAGTAGACACCTTTAGGTAGGCCGGTTTGTAGATTTGCTTTAAGGTCCTTATCTCTTTCCAAATTGAAGACCACAAAACCCATGTTGCCGCGGGAAAAAGCAATTTGATTCTCACCATTTTCCCACCAATTAGCCAATGGCTGATTATTGACCGTGTTACGGAATTTCACCATGTGATGTATCTCTGGCCAACGATGTTCACAAACCCATCCAGATTTTGCCGTATCACATTGATTGTTGGCCAAAAATGTTGGTGCTGTAATGGAACCATCCTTGGATGCCGGTGGACCTTGATCACTGTTGTCAAAACTGTAGGAACTCATAACTCTGGTCACTTTGCCATAAGGATGGGCCAACATAAAGGCCACAGCTGCTTTATATAAATCGGCATCTTTGTATGTGAGTATGTCAGCACCACCGGCCCCATGACCTCTTTGATTGTCATGATTGTCCACAAAGACAATGGCATCTTCCGAGGGTAGCATACTCCAGTCTGGGCCCCAATTTTTCAACGATTTCAGGGACTTTTTGCCACGAAAGACCTCACCAATGGCCTTGGAAAAAACAAATTCTGTTACGGCGCCCAAGTGATTGTAATCGGTTCTGAAAATGAAAAAAATATATGAATCGAGGCTCTTTGAAGTGTGAGTAGTAGAGAATCTTGTACCCACTTTTTAATGGGCTCCCCACCCAAATCAATAACCTCCTGATAAATATATGGCCTGGACATGGGCGAAAACCCATGTTTGGCATTCAACAGCTTCAGACTCCCATAGATGGCCCTCAAATCTTCCGGCCACATATGCTTGGCTGCATCCATGCGAAATCCGGCCACACCCAAGTCAATCAAATGATTCATGTAATTGACAATCATTTCACGAACATGCGGCAATGTTTGATTCAAATCAGCCAGCGATCCCAGCTGGCAATCCCTGACCTCAGTGGCATTTTGATAATTCTGAATCTCACAAGTGGGATGGAAGTCGGCCACGGTGTAGGGTACAGCAGGCCAGCTGCGTTGTTCATAATAGGCCACGGAGCCGGCTGTGCCCATGGTTTTGCCGGCCTTAAAACCAGACATGTGGTTCACAACGGTGTCCACATAATTGCGTACCCCAACCTGGTTGCAGCGTTTGATCATGTCCGCCAAATCGGCCTCACTGCCGGATCTTGAGGTGAGAATATAGGAGACAGGTTGATATCTAGCCCACCAGGGGTTGTTTTCCTGCACAATAACCTCATTGGGTGGGGAAATCTAAAAAAGTGATTCCTTTTAAATGTGATATTCAAAAATTGTAGTTGGATTATACCTGCACACCACCATAGCCATGAGGCCCCAGAAAATCTTCACACTCCTTGGCAATGTCCTTCCAAGTCCATTCAAACAAATGCACAATGCTGCTACGTTGCTCGGTGAATAATGGCTGCTTTTGAGCACCCACCAGGTTCAATAAAACAATTATTGGAAGTAGCAGGGTAAAACAACAACGCCCGCCACCCATGTTCGATGCGATTGCAAATAATTTTCGATTTGAACTAATTTAATTTACTGGCGATTGAATTGTTTTTATACAATCAAGAATTTCAGATGCTTTCGATTGAGATAAGAACTGATTGTGGCACTACTGTTGTTGTTGTTTTTGTTAGAGAGCACTTTAGAGGCAATGCATTCGGAAGTGTGTATGTTCATATTTTTTTTAATAATAATTATAACACATTTAAAGTTCGAAAATATATATTCTATTCACTTTACGTGCATGTCAACAATTTGTTAACACCACTCGAATCTTTTGTTGAATTTTCATAGCAAACGGAAAATTTAATTCACTCAATTTGTAGTTCGGAATGGCGGGGAGAATAGAACAATATTTAAGGGATTTTTAATATAAATAAGTAAAAAAAGCAGCTAAGTTAGGACGGGACGAATTTTTAATAACCTCCACCATTTTGAAGGATCTTGAAAAGTTAAAAAAATTCTTCGAAAATTACGTCTTAAATGAAAACTATACGGAGACGTGGACCTGCATAAGTAATTTTTTGTCAGAGACTGATGTACCGATTCCGAACTTCAAATACGATTATTTAGAACCCATATAGACCAGATAATATATTTTTCAAATCAATTTTGGAAAACAATTTTTTATTCAAATAACTTCTGCAACAACAAAAAAACTCATTGAAGTTTTGATTGGCTAGAAATTGCCAAAACTTGTGGTCCCTTGGGGAGTTTTATGTCAGCACTGCCATCTTCGGTCACCACGACTTTAACACCTCCACATTGATTTCCCAACCTACCACCGGAAATGACATCACAATATTCACCTGCAGCTAAACCGGTGCTCAAATTCACATCCAGTTCCGAATCTTCTTCCAAGTTGAAAGCCACAAAACCCTTGTTGCCGCGTGAAAAGGCCACCTGTTTTCCCTCATTGTCCCACCAATTCTCCAAAGGGGCATCATTAACCAAGTTGCGGAACTTGACCATCTCCACAATTTCTGGCCAGCGATGTTCACATACCCAGCCGTTATTTGCAGTATCGCATTGCTGATTGGACAGAAAACTGGGAGCTTTAATGGAACCATCCTCATGGGCAGGAGGTCCCTGATCACTGTTATCAAAAGCATAGGAGCTCATGACTCTGGCCACCTTGCCATAGGGATGGGCCAACATAAATGCCACGGCCGGTTTGTAGAGGCTGGGAACTTTGTGGGTCAGAATATCAGCACCACCAGCTCCATGGCCACGTTGATTGTCATGGTTATCCACGAAAACGATGACATCTTCCGAGGGTAGCATATTCCACTCAGGGCCCCAGTTTTTCAGAGATTTCAAGGGGATTTTGTTGCGGAACACCAAACCAATGTCGGTGGAGAATTTGAATTCAGTGACGGCGCCCAAATGGTTGTATTCGCTTCTATTAAGGTATGAAAAAAATTTCAAAATTGGAGAATAAAATTCTGTCTCAAATCTTACTTCTTAATCTCCTCTCCTCCCAGATCAATCACCTCCTGATAAATATAAGGCTTGGTATTTGCTGGAAAACCAAAATCCGTATTTAAATCCTTGAGACGACCATAAATAACCTCCAAATCCTCGGGCCACATATGTTTGGCAGCATCAATGCGAAAACCAGCCACACCCAAATCTGTCAAATGATCCATGTACCCAACAATCATGTCCCGAACATGGGGCACCGTTTGATTCAAATCAGCCAGCGATGACAATTGACAATTTCGAACTTGTTGTCTATCCTGATAATTGGATATATCACAGGTGGGATGAAAATCTTCGGGTCCATAGGGTACGGCAGGCCAGCTACGTTGACCATAATTGGCCACAGAACCGGCTGTGCCCAGAGTATCACCATCCTTATAGCCCGACATGTGATTGACCACAATGTCCACGTAGGTGCGTACCCCTGCCTGATTGCAGCGCCTTATCATGTCGGACAAATCGGATTCAGAACCAGATCGGGAGATGAGTTTATAGGACACCGGTTGGTAACGGGCCCACCAGTTGTCGGTCACAATGACTTCATTTGGTGGGGATATCTAAATTTCAAATTTCAAGAAAGGGAGAATTATTTGAATGGTTCCGATATCGTAAAAAGGGACTTACCTGTACACCACCATATCCCTGAGGCCCCAAAAATTCCTCACACTCTCGAGCAATTTCCGGCCAGGTCCATTCAAACAAATGTACAATTGTGGTGCGATTGTCATGGAACTGTGGATCCTTTTGAGCCCAGCAAAGGGCCAATATTAGGAGCACGAAGACAAAACTAAAACTGCAAATGCTATCTCTCATTATTTTACTCTGAAGATTATAACCACCCAATCATGACTTTTATAGTCCAATAGCGAATGCGGATTGTGAAATGATGCAATGCCTGATGGTGAAACACTTGTTCCAATCAAACTTGTTAGACCATTTCCCTGGTCATCTGTATTTGCTGTTGGTTGTTTGAAACCATATGTTTAAATATTGGAAGTTCTTACAAAGAGGATAGGTTTTATTTGTTCGAAACCATTTACAATTAGTAATGGAATATTTTCAGATACATGAATGGACACATATACGCCTCCTATAGGCATAGGTCATTATAGGTTGATTATATATTAATGAGAAGTTATTAAGCGAATAATATTTGTCTTTCCGTTTGTAACACCTATATATATTCTTGATCTGCATAAAATTCGATGCCGAATTAGCGATGTCGGTTCGCCTGTCCGTATATCCGTCTGTGGAAATCACTCTAGGTTCCGAACGAAATGAAGTAGAATGAAAAAATTTTACTTAAATGCATATTATGTCTGCAGGACTTTTGGCATTGAAAATAGGCCGTGTAGGTGCACGTTTTGGTATAGCTCCCATATAATGGTACCTCCCTATATTCGGTATTTTGGTGATTTAAGCGAAATTATTCACCGGAAATGTTTCAATTTTGGTATTTAAAGTTCGTAATTGGTGCTACAGTCTATGCCAGAAAATTGTTGGTGCAGGTTCACGCCTTCGTATAGCCCCCATATAATATTCCTCCCTCCCTCCTGATATTCGGTGTTTTGAAGATTTTAGCGACATTTTTTACCGGAATTGTTTCTAATTTGGTATTTGAAGTTCGTAATGGATACTGCAGCCCATGACAGAAAATTGTTCGTGCAGGTCCACATCATCGTATAGCCGCCATATAACGGTACCTCCCGATATTCGGTATTTTGATGATTTCAGCGACATTATTCACCAGAATTATTTCAAATTTGGTATTTGTTGTTGAAAATCGATACTACAACCTGTGACAGAAAATAGTCTATGTAGGTCCATGCCTTCGTATATTCCCCATATAACGGCACCTCCCGATATTCGGTATTTTGATGATTTTAGCGACATTTTTTATCGTATAGCCCCCATGTAACGGCACCTCCCTATATTCTGTATATTAATGATTTTCGGGACATTATTCACCAGAATTGTTTCAAATTTTGTATTTGAAGTTCATAGTGGATAATACAGACTAAGACAGAAAACTGTGCGTGCAGGTCCACGTTTTGGTATAACACCCATAGTGCCTCTCTACATTCGGTATTTGGATGATTTTAGCTACATTATTCACGATTTTTTCTCAAGTTTCGCATTTGAATATGGTAATGGCTCATGACAAAAGTTGTCTATGCAGGTCCACGTCGTCGTATAGACCCTAATTACCATATTCAAATGCGAAACTTGAGAAAAAATCGTGAATAATGTAGCTAAAATCATCCAAATACCGAATGTAGAGAGGCACTATGGGTGTTATACCAAAACGTGGACCTGCACGCACAGTTTTCTGTCTTAGTCTGTATTATCCACTATGAACTTCAAATACAAAATTTGAAACAATTCTGGTGAATAATGTCCCGAAAATCATTAATATACAGAATATAGGGAGGTGCCGTTACATGGGGGCTATACGATAAAAAATGTCGCTAAAATCATCAAAATACCGAATATCGGGAGGTGCCGTTATATGGGGAATATACGAAGGCATGGACCTACATAGACTATTTTCTGTCACAGGTTGTAGTATCGATTTTCAACAACAAATACCAAATTTGAAATAATTCTGGTGAATAATGTCGCTGAAATCATCAAAATACCGAATATCGGGAGGTACCGTTATATGGCGGCTATACGATGATGTGGACCTGCACGAACAATTTTCTGTCATGGGCTGCAGTATCCATTACGAACTTCAAATACCAAATTAGAAACAATTCCGGTAAAAAATGTCGCTAAAATCTTCAAAACACCGAATATCAGGAGGGAGGGAGGAATATTATATGGGGGCTATACGAAGGCGTGAACCTGCACCAACAATTTTCTGGCATAGACTGTAGCACCAATTACGAACTTTAAATACCAAAATTGAAACATTTCCGGTGAATAATTTCGCTTAAATCACCAAAATACCGAATATAGGGAGGTACCATTATATGGGAGCTATACCAAAACGTGCACCTACACGGCCTATTTTCAATGCCAAAAGTCCTGCAGACATAATATGCATTTAAGTAAAATTTTTTCATTCTACTTCATTTCGTTCGGAACCTAGAGTGATTTCCACAGACGGATATACGGACAGGCGAACCGACATCGCTAATTCGGCATCGAATTTTATGCAGATCAAGAATATATATAGGTGTTACAAACGGAAAGACAAATATTATTCGCTTAATAACTTCTCATTAATATATAATCAACCTATAATGACCTATGCCTATATGAGGCGTATATGTGTCCATTCATGTATCTGAAAATATTCCATTACTAATTGTAAATGGTTTCGAACAAATAAAACCTATCCTCTTTGTAAGAACTTCCAATATTTAAACATATGGTTTCAAACAACCAACAGCAAATACAGATGACCAGGGAAATGGTCTAACAAGTTTGATTGGAACAAGTGTTTCACCATCAGGCATTGCATCATTTCGCAATCCGCATTCGCTATTGGACTATAAAAGTCATGATTGGGTGGTTATAATCTTCAGAGTAAAATAATGAGAGATAGCATTTGCAGTTTTAGTTTTGTCTTCGTGCTCCTAATATTGGCCCTTTGCTGGGCTCAAAAGGATCCACAGTTCCATGACAATCGCACCACAATTGTACATTTGTTTGAATGGACCTGGCCGGAAATTGCTCGAGAGTGTGAGGAATTTTTGGGGCCTCAGGGATATGGTGGTGTACAGGTAAGTCCCTTTTTACGATATCGGAACCATTCAAATAATTCTCCCTTTCTTGAAATTTGAAATTTAGATATCCCCACCAAATGAAGTCATTGTGACCGACAACTGGTGGGCCCGTTACCAACCGGTGTCCTATAAACTCATCTCCCGATCTGGTTCTGAATCCGATTTGTCCGACATGATAAGGCGCTGCAATCAGGCAGGGGTACGCACCTACGTGGACATTGTGGTCAATCACATGTCGGGCTATAAGGATGGTGATACTCTGGGCACAGCCGGTTCTGTGGCCAATTATGGTCAACGTAGCTGGCCTGCCGTACCCTATGGACCCGAAGATTTTCATCCCACCTGTGATATATCCAATTATCAGGATAGACAACAAGTTCGAAATTGTCAATTGTCATCGCTGGCTGATTTGAATCAAACGGTGCCCCATGTTCGGGACATGATTGTTGGGTACATGGATCATTTGACAGATTTGGGTGTGGCTGGTTTTCGCATTGATGCTGCCAAACATATGTGGCCCGAGGATTTGGAGGTTATTTATGGTCGTCTCAAGGATTTAAATACGGATTTTGGTTTTCCAGCAAATACCAAGCCTTATATTTATCAGGAGGTGATTGATCTGGGAGGAGAGGAGATTAAGAAGTAAGATTTGAGACAGAATTTTATTCTCCAATTTTGAAATTTTTTTCATACCTTAATAGAAGCGAATACAACCATTTGGGCGCCGTCACTGAATTCAAATTCTCCACCGACATTGGTTTGGTGTTCCGCAACAAAATCCCCTTGAAATCTCTGAAAAACTGGGGCCCTGAGTGGAATATGCTACCCTCGGAAGATGTCATCGTTTTCGTGGATAACCATGACAATCAACGTGGCCATGGAGCTGGTGGTGCTGATATTTTGACCCACAAAGTTCCCAGCCTCTACAAACCGGCCGTGGCATTTATGTTGGCCCATCCCTATGGCAAGGTGGCCAGAGTCATGAGCTCCTATGCTTTTGATAACAGTGATCAGGGACCTCCTGCCCATGAGGATGGTTCCATTAAAGCTCCCAGTTTTCTGTCCAATCAGCAATGCGATACTGCAAATAACGGCTGGGTATGTGAACATCGCTGGCCAGAAATTGTGGAGATGGTCAAGTTCCGCAACTTGGTTAATGATGCCCCTTTGGAGAATTGGTGGGACAATGAGGGAAAACAGGTGGCCTTTTCACGCGGCAACAAGGGTTTTGTGGCTTTCAACTTGGAAGAAGATTCGGAACTGGATGTGAATTTGAGCACCGGTTTAGCTGCAGGTGAATATTGTGATGTCATTTCCGGTGGTAGGTTGGGAAATCAATGTGGAGGTGTTAAAGTCGTGGTGACCGAAGATGGCAGTGCTGACATAAAACTCCCCAAGGGACCACAAGTTTTGGCAATTTCTAGCCAATCAAAACTTCAATGAGTTTTTTTGTTGTTGCAGAAGTTATTTGAATAAAAAATTGTTTTCCAAAATTGATTTGAAAAATATATTATCTGGTCTATATGGGTTCTAAATAATCGTATTTGAAGTTCGGAATCGGTACATCAGTCTCTGACAAAAAATTACTTATGCAGGTCCACGTCTCCGTATAGTTTTCATTTAAGACGTAATTTTCGAAGAATTTTTTTAACTTTTCAAGATCCTTCAAAATGGTGGAGGTTATTAAAAATTCGTCCCGTCCTAACTTAGCTGCTTTTTTTACTTATTTATATTAAAAATCCCTTAAATATTGTTCTATTCTCCCCGCCATTCCGAACTACAAATTGAGTGAATTAAATTTTCCGTTTGCTATGAAAATTCAACAAAAGATTCGAGTGGTGTTAACAAATTGTTGACATGCACGTAAAGTGAATAGAATATATATTTTCGAACTTTAAATGTGTTATAATTATTATTAAAAAAAATATGAACATACACACTTCCGAATGCATTGCCTCTAAAGTGCTCTCTAACAAAAACAACAACAACACTAGTGCCACAATCAGTTCTTATCTCAATCGAAAGCATCTGAAATTCTTGATTGTATAAAAACAATTCAATCGCCAGTAAATTAAATTAGTTCAAATCGAAAATTATTTGCAATCGCATCGAACATGGGTGGCGGGCGTTGTTGTTTTACCCTGCTACTTCCAATAATTGTTTTATTGAACCTGGTGGGTGCTCAAAAGCAGCCATTATTCACCGAGCAACGTAGCAGCATTGTGCATTTGTTTGAATGGACTTGGAAGGACATTGCCAAGGAGTGTGAAGATTTTCTGGGGCCTCATGGCTATGGTGGTGTGCAGGTATAATCCAACTACAATTTTTGAATATCACATTTAAAAGGAATCACTTTTTTAGATTTCCCCACCCAATGAGGTTATTGTGCAGGAAAACAACCCCTGGTGGGCTAGATATCAACCTGTCTCCTATATTCTCACCTCAAGATCCGGCAGTGAGGCCGATTTGGCGGACATGATCAAACGCTGCAACCAGGTTGGGGTACGCATTTATGTGGACACCGTTGTGAACCACATGTCTGGTTTTAAGGCCGGCAAAACCATCGTATAGCCCCCATGTAACGGCACCTCCCTATATTCTGTATATTAATGATTTTCGGGACATTATTCACCAGAATTGTTTCAAATTTTGTATTTGAAGTTCATAGTGGATAATACAGACTAAGACAGAAAACTGTGCGTGCAGGTCCACGTTTTGGTATAACACCCATAGTGCCTCTCTACATTCGGTATTTGGATGATTTTAGCTACATTATTCACGATTTTTTCTCAAGTTTCGCATTTGAATATGGTAATGGCTCATGACAAAAGTTGTCTATGCAGGTCCACGTCGTCGTATAGACCCTAATATATTACCATATTCAAATGCGAAACTTGAGAAAAAATCGTGAATAATGTAGCTAAAATCATCCAAATACCGAATGTAGAGAGGCACTATGGGTGTTATACCAAAACGTGGACCTGCACGCACAGTTTTCTGTCTTAGTCTGTATTATCCACTATGAACTTCAAATACAAAATTTGAAACAATTCTGGTGAATAATGTCCCGAAAATCATTAATATACAGAATATAGGGAGGTGCCGTTACATGGGGGCTATACGATAAAAAATGTCGCTAAAATCATCAAAATACCGAATATCGGGAGGTGCCGTTATATGGGGAATATACGAAGGCATGGACCTACATAGACTATTTTCTGTCACAGGTTGTAGTATCGATTTTCAACAACAAATACCAAATTTGAAATAATTCTGGTGAATAATGTCGCTGAAATCATCAAAATACCGAATATCGGGAGGTACCGTTATATGGCGGCTATACGATGATGTGGACCTGCACGAACAATTTTCTGTCATGGGCTGCAGTATCCATTACGAACTTCAAATACCAAATTAGAAACAATTCCGGTAAAAAATGTCGCTAAAATCTTCAAAACACCGAATATCAGGAGGGAGGGAGGAATATTATATGGGGGCTATACGAAGGCGTGAACCTGCACCAACAATTTTCTGGCATAGACTGTAGCACCAATTACGAACTTTAAATACCAAAATTGAAACATTTCCGGTGAATAATTTCGCTTAAATCACCAAAATACCGAATATAGGGAGGTACCATTATATGGGAGCTATACCAAAACGTGCACCTACACGGCCTATTTTCAATGCCAAAAGTCCTGCAGACATAATATGCATTTAAGTAAAATTTTTTCATTCTACTTCATTTCGTTCGGAACCTAGAGTGATTTCCACAGACGGATATACGGACAGGCGAACCGACATCGCTAATTCGGCATCGAATTTTATGCAGATCAAGAATATATATAGGTGTTACAAACGGAAAGACAAATATTATTCGCTTAATAACTTCTCATTAATATATAATCAACCTATAATGACCTATGCCTATATGAGGCGTATATGTGTCCATTCATGTATCTGAAAATATTCCATTACTAATTGTAAATGGTTTCGAACAAATAAAACCTATCCTCTTTGTAAGAACTTCCAATATTTAAACATATGGTTTCAAACAACCAACAGCAAATACAGATGACCAGGGAAATGGTCTAACAAGTTTGATTGGAACAAGTGTTTCACCATCAGGCATTGCATCATTTCACAATCCGCATTCGCTATTGGACTATAAAAGTCATGATTGGGTGGTTATAATCTTCAGAGTAAAATAATGAGAGATAGCATTTGCAGTTTTAGTTTTGTCTTCGTGCTCCTAATATTGGCCCTTTGCTGGGCTCAAAAGGATCCACAGTTCCATGACAATCGCACCACAATTGTACATTTGTTTGAATGGACCTGGCCGGAAATTGCTCGAGAGTGTGAGGAATTTTTGGGGCCTCAGGGATATGGTGGTGTACAGGTAAGTCCCTTTTTACGATATCGGAACCATTCAAATAATTCTCCCTTTCTTGAAATTTGAAATTTAGATATCCCCACCAAATGAAGTCATTGTGACCGACAACTGGTGGGCCCGTTACCAACCGGTGTCCTATAAACTCATCTCCCGATCTGGTTCTGAATCCGATTTGTCCGACATGATAAGGCGCTGCAATCAGGCAGGGGTACGCACCTACGTGGACATTGTGGTCAATCACATGTCGGGCTATAAGGATGGTGATACTCTGGGCACAGCCGGTTCTGTGGCCAATTATGGTCAACGTAGCTGGCCTGCCGTACCCTATGGACCCGAAGATTTTCATCCCACCTGTGATATATCCAATTATCAGGATAGACAACAAGTTCGAAATTGTCAATTGTCATCGCTGGCTGATTTGAATCAAACGGTGCCCCATGTTCGGGACATGATTGTTGGGTACATGGATCATTTGACAGATTTGGGTGTGGCTGGTTTTCGCATTGATGCTGCCAAACATATGTGGCCCGAGGATTTGGAGGTTATTTATGGTCGTCTCAAGGATTTAAATACGGATTTTGGTTTTCCAGCAAATACCAAGCCTTATATTTATCAGGAGGTGATTGATCTGGGAGGAGAGGAGATTAAGAAGTAAGATTTGAGACAGAATTTTATTCTCCAATTTTGAAATTTTTTTCATACCTTAATAGAAGCGAATACAACCATTTGGGCGCCGTCACTGAATTCAAATTCTCCACCGACATTGGTTTGGTGTTCCGCAACAAAATCCCCTTGAAATCTCTGAAAAACTGGGGCCCTGAGTGGAATATGCTACCCTCGGAAGATGTCATCGTTTTCTTGGATAACCATGACAATCAACGTGGCCATGGAGCTGGTGGTGCTGATATTCTGACCCACAAAGTTCCCAGCCTCTACAAACCGGCCGTGGCATTTATGTTGGCCCATCCCTATGGCAAGGTGGCCAGAGTCATGAGCTCCTATGCTTTTGATAACAGTGATCAGGGACCTCCTGCCCATGAGGATGGTTCCATTAAAGCTCCCAGTTTTCTGTCCAATCAGCAATGCGATACTGCAAATAACGGCTGGGTATGTGAACATCGCTGGCCAGAAATTGTGGAGATGGTCAAGTTCCGCAACTTGGTTAATGATGCCCCTTTGGAGAATTGGTGGGACAATGAGGGAAAACAGGTGGCCTTTTCACGCGGCAACAAGGGTTTTGTGGCTTTCAACTTGGAAGAAGATTCGGAACTGGATGTGAATTTGAGCACCGGTTTAGCTGCAGGTGAATATTGTGATGTCATTTCCGGTGGTAGGTTGGGAAATCAATGTGGAGGTGTTAAAGTCGTGGTGACCGAAGATGGCAGTGCTGACATAAAACTCCCCAAGGGACCACAAGTTTTGGCAATTTCTAGCCAATCAAAACTTCAATGAGTTTTTTTGTTGTTGCAGAAGTTATTTGAATAAAAAATTGTTTTCCAAAATTGATTTGAAAAATATATTATCTGGTCTATATGGGTTCTAAATAATCGTATTTGAAGTTCGGAATCGGTACATCAGTCTCTGACAAAAAATTACTTATGCAGGTCCACGTCTCCGTATAGTTTTCATTTAAGACGTAATTTTCGAAGAATTTTTTTAACTTTTCAAGATCCTTCAAAATGGTGGAGGTTATTAAAAATTCGTCCCGTCCTAACTTAGCTGCTTTTTTTACTTATTTATATTAAAAATCCCTTAAATATTGTTCTATTCTCCCCGCCATTCCGAACTACAAATTGAGTGAATTAAATTTTCCGTTTGCTATGAAAATTCAACAAAAGATTCGAGTGGTGTTAACAAATTGTTGACATGCACGTAAAGTGAATAGAATATATATTTTCGAACTTTAAATGTGTTATAATTATTATTAAAAAAAATATGAACATACACACTTCCGAATGCATTGCCTCTAAAGTGCTCTCTAACAAAAACAACAACAACACTAGTGCCACAATCAGTTCTTATCTCAATCGAAAGCATCTGAAATTCTTGATTGTATAAAAACAATTCAATCGCCAGTAAATTAAATTAGTTCAAATCGAAAATTATTTGCAATCGCATCGAACATGGGTGGCGGGCGTTGTTGTTTTACCCTGCTACTTCCAATAATTTTTTTATTGAACCTGGTGGGTGCTCAAAAGCAGCCATTATTCACCGAGCAACGTAGCAGCATTGTGCATTTGTTTGAATGGACTTGGAAGGACATTGCCAAGGAGTGTGAAGATTTTCTGGGGCCTCATGGCTATGGTGGTGTGCAGGTATAATCCAACTACAATTTTTGAATATCACATTTAAAAGGAATCACTTTTTTAGATTTCCCCACCCAATGAGGTTATTGTGCAGGAAAACAACCCCTGGTGGGCTAGATATCAACCTGTCTCCTATATTCTCACCTCAAGATCCGGCAGTGAGGCCGATTTGGCGGACATGATCAAACGCTGCAACCAGGTTGGGGTACGCATTTATGTGGACACCGTTGTGAACCACATGTCTGGTTTTAAGGCCGGCAAAACCATCGTATAGCCCCCATGTAACGGCACCTCCCTATATTCTGTATATTAATGATTTTCGGGACATTATTCACCAGAATTGTTTCAAATTTTGTATTTGAAGTTCATAGTGGATAATACAGACTAAGACAGAAAACTGTGCGTGCAGGTCCACGTTTTGGTATAACACCCATAGTGCCTCTCTACATTCGGTATTTGGATGATTTTAGCTACATTATTCACGATTTTTTCTCAAGTTTCGCATTTGAATATGGTAATGGCTCATGACAAAAGTTGTCTACGCAGGTCCACGTCGTCGTATAGACCCTAATATAAGGGCTACATTCGGAATTTTTAAGATTTCAACAGACTTTTTACAGGACTTTATTTATTTATTAATATTTTTTTTTTTTTTTAATTTGCCAGATTTGTTCCAAATGGTGGAGGGTATCCAAAATTCAGCTCGGCTTACAGCTTTTTTTCTTGTTTCTTTATAAAATTTTATCAGGAAAATTTAATTCGAAATATATATATATATATATATATATATATATATATATATATATATATATTTTTTTTTTTTTTTTTTTTTTTCCATGTAAATTATCCGTATAACTTTTTTTTTGAAAAACTTATTCGGATAATTTTTCCCATAAAAAAATTTACGGATAATGTTTTTTCTAAAAAAATGTATTCGGATATTTTTCCTATGAAAATTCTCCGAAAAAAATTACTTTCTTTTCACAAAAAAAAAGAAAAAAAATAATTGAAAAAAAAAATAGTTCTCCATAGAAAAAATGTCTAAATCTGCGCAAAATATTTTACAGATAATTACTCCCTATAGCAAAAATGTTTGAATAATTCTCTTTTGTTTTCGTTTTTCTTTTACCAATACATTACCACCGTTATATATCCATTGACCTCATCGATGTTAAACAATAATTTAAACTTGTAAAATACATGGAATACCTTCAACTATTCCTTCCCCCTAACCAAGAAGGCAACGACATTTGACGCTTCTAGGGCTTCCGCGAGAGGTTTTCTTTGTCCAATGATTTTGAAATGGAAATCAGTCACTGTTGGTCAGCCAACGGCTAAATTTCGGATTCTAGTTAAAAATTTCAAAAAAAAAAGTTTTTTTTTTATTTCATTTAAAGGACAAAAGGATAACATCGAAAGGATAACATTATGGCCGCAGCAGCTGCTGCTCCTGCCGCTGGGGCAGCCCCCAAGGATTTGGTGCAGATTGCCGGAGAGGGGGCATTTACCAATTACATGAAAAATCGCCTAAGGCGAGGTGGCATGAAACGCAAAGGATTGGAAATTATTAATGGCCATAAATTCGCTGTGCGCTTTTTCAAGCAGCCCACCTATTGTGGCCACTGCAAGGAATTTATTTGGTAAGCAAATGACGGAGTTATGCAATCAACGCAACGCAACAGAAAATGGAGAGGAATTTTAATTAAATTAATTTTTGGTTTTATGTGTGCGTTTGTGGATAAAACAGGGGCTTTGGCAAGCAGGGTTATCAGTGCGAAGGTGAGCTGCCGTGGATGTTTGTTTTTTATGGTTGCAATTAATTATTTGCCTATTTTTTATGCGATTTACAGATTGCCGTTTTAATATCCATCAAAAATGTTGTAAATTTGTGGTCTTCAAATGCCCGGGCACTGAGACGGACATTGATGGGGAATGTGCCAAGGTTAAACATGCCTGGGTATCGACCACCTATTCAGCCCCAACTTTCTGTGATGATTGTGGTCTGCTGCTGCATGGAGTCCAGCATCAGGGTGTCAAGTGCGACAGTAAGTTTGAAGGAGAGGTTGTTACAACTTTGAAATGCAATTACGTTTCTCTCCATAGATTGCAACCTAAATGTCCATCACAATTGCAAGGATAAGGTACCGCCATTGTGTGGAGCAGACATAACTGAGATTCGTGGCAAATTGTTGTTGTACGTGGAATTGAAGGGCAATACCTTGAAGGTGGATAGTAAGTAGAAGTGCGAGCGAAAGGTCTAAAGGATTTTTTTTTAAATTTTGAGAAAATTTGCAGTCAAGGAAGCCGCCAATCTAATCCCCATGGATACCAATGGCTTGAGCGATCCCTATATTGCCATACAATTGCATCCAGATCGCAGTGGCAAGACCAAAAAGAAGACCAAGACCATTCAAAAGAATTTGAATCCGGTATTCAATGAGTCGTTTACTTTGTGAGTGTCTACAAATTCCCCGAAATGTTAAAGGTTTATAATATTTTTTTTAATATATCTTTGCAGCGACTTGGGACCCCAGGATCGTGAAAAACGCTTACTGATAGAGGTATGGGATTGGGATCGTACTTCTCGTAACGATTTCATGGGCTCCTTCTCCTTTAGCATGGAAGAGATACAAAAGGTAGAGACAGACATTTTATTTTCAATTCGATTTTTTTTAAATAATTTCCATTTGGTTTTTCCAGGAACCAATTGATGGCTGGTACAAGTTCTTGTCTCAGGTTGAGGGTGAACATTACAACATTCCTTGCACTGATGCCGTCAACGACATTGCTCGCCTCAGGGATGAGGTTAAGGTAAGTAATTTACAAACTTCTCGCATATTTGAATATTTCTACCAAATGTCCAATATTTTTACTAGCTGTGAGTTATATGGGTCCACTCCTTTAGGACCCTCTCCCTCATACCCTCACAATTTCGAAAAAATCTCATAAAAATTGAAGAAAACGTGTAAATGTAAGCATTTTTACCCATTATCTTTTAAAATGCCCTCTCGAATTCGAGTAGAGAGTGAAACTCTTTACACTTCGAGAGTCAATACTCTTGTGAGTAAAAAAGAAATCAATTATACTCTATTTTTCTATGCAGCTCGAAAGAGAGAGAAAGAGCGTACTTTGCTCATTTTCGAGTGGTAGTAAAACTTACTCAAAATCGAGCTGATTCTACTCTTGGAGAGTAATCCTTTAGTTTTCTCAATACACAGCTGAAAACTAAATAAATATTTTCTCCAATTTCTATCAGCAAATCCAGAATTTTTACAAGATCTCCCCCTCCCTGTCCACAACAACATCATCAAAACTTTTTCACCAAATATTTTTCCCCTTGATTTTATTCTTAGAGTAAACTTGTACTCTATTTCGACCATTTTTACTTCTTCTCTTACAATATGAGTAGAAAAGACGAGCATTCCCACATAAAACAAAAGAGTAGAGTAAACTTCTTGTAACACTCGCACACTTTGAGTGCTGTCGCTCGCGAGTATTTTTTACTCTCGAGTACCTTTGAGTATATCTGGGCTCCGCCTACCGCAAAGTGTGTTAGATCAAAACCCATTTTAAAGCCTTTTTTGTTTGAGCATTCTGTTCACTTACAGTTGGTTCTTCTATCGGGATCGAACACTTCGTATCTCTTTAGAAAGTGCACGTATTTAAAATACATTTCCAAAATTTGTTTCCATTTCCAATTGAATATCATTTTCATTCTCCTTTTTTCTCCAGACCGAAAAGAAGACCAACAAACGCCGCATGGACAACAAGGACATGCCACACAACATGAACAAACGTGATATGATCAGGGCAGCTGATTTCAATTTCATTAAAGTTTTGGGCAAGGGCTCGTTTGGTAAGGTGCTCTTGGCCGAACGTCGTGGTACCGATGAATTGTATGCCGTTAAAGTACTAAGGAAGGATATTATTATTCAAGCCGATGATATGGAATTGCCCATGACGGAGAAGTTCATATTGGCCCTGTCGGGAAAATCGCCATTTTTGGTATCCTTGCATTCGTGCTTCCAAACTATGGTAAACTTAAATACAAATTCTGTTTCCGGAGGGAAAAAAGGTTCTAAAATGGCTTCTCTTTTTAAAGGACCGTCTATTCTTTGTTTTGGAATACTGCAAGGGTGGTGATTTGCTGTATCAGCTGCAGAAATATGGTCGCTTCAAGGAGTCGGTGGCAATGTATGTATGACAGTTTTTGGAATTTTTTTGGCTTTAATTGGGAATAATCTTCCATTTTAGTTTCTATGCCGTTGAGGTTGCCTTGGCCTTGTTCTTTTTGCATGAACGCAAAATCATCTATCGTGATTTGAAATTGGATAATATTCTGTTGGATTTGGATGGCCATGTTAAGTTAACCGATTTCGGTTTGTCCAAGGATAATATTGGAGAAAATGATAATACACGTACTTTCTGTGGTACTAGCTGCTATTTGGCTCCGGAGGTTTGGATTTATTTTGAAACATTTTTGGTAGAAATACTAAAGTTCCTTTTTCTTTTAATTTAAGATTTTGGCCTATGAACCCTATAGCCACACCGTGGACTGGTGGGCCTATGGTGTACTCTTGTACGAAATGATGGCCGGCCAGCAGCCATTTGAGGGTGAAGATGATGCCGCCATATACAAGAATATCAAGGAAAAGAAGGCCGTGTTTCCCAAGCACTTCTCCCAGGAGTCCATGGATGTTATCACCAGTGTAAGTTTTTCATTTAAATGTTATTCTTTAATGTTTTTGTATTGTATATTTAAAGGAACGCTTTGGTAATGTTGCTATCATCAGAAAATTTAGAATGAGTAGGATGTGGTCTGTTCCAGAACTGCAAGAATATAAAAATATGTGCTACGATAAACGATTCTCCCTTTATGATATCGAAAAAATTGCAAAATTAATAGATTCTTGTAGATTTAGGTACAGAGCAATGATCTCAAAAATATTAACATTTTATACACGTTTGCTGTGTTCCAGAACTGCAAGAATCTATTAATTTTGCAATTTTTTTTGGCGGTTTGAAAAACCGGCAGAGTAGTAGATTCTTGCAGGTTCTGCAACAGATTTATAGTATATGATGACAAATATACAAACAAACAAATACAATTCAAGAAAAAGTCGAGTACGCTAATTGTGTCCTGAGTGCTTACAACTGTTGTGGTGTCCTCTGATGGGACAAAAATTATACTTTTTTTAGTCTAAATATTTCATTACTAGTATGATATTTTACCCCAGCCCTATAACGACTCTAAGGGTAGAACATTTACTCAATGAAAATGTTTTTTTTTTCGATTTCAGTTCTTGGCTAAGAAACCCAACAATCGCTTGGGAGCCGGCAAATTTGCCCGCAATGAAATCCAAACTCATCCCTTCTATAACATTATTGATTGGGATTCGGCAGCTGAGAAGGGTATGGAGCCACCAATTATACCCAAGATTGTAAGTTCTTCTTGTGAGAGATTAAGTTTTTTTTTAGACTAATTTTTATTTCCTTCCCCGCCTAGAAACATCGCAAAGATATCTCGAATTTCGATACCACATTCACGGCCGAGAAAACCGATTTGACACCCACCGACAAATTATTCATGATGAACTTGGATCAGGGTGATTTCTTGGGTTTCTCCTATATGAATCCGGAGTTTATAACATTGGTCTAAAGTGGATCTGTTCCTTGTTGAAATTTAAACAGTATTTAAAATTGTTGTCAGCAATTACGCTGTTGCTTAAATTCAAAATCCAAATATAAAAAAAAAAATAACAGCATGGCATATGAAATCGCATGGCTTTTCGTATTTAAAGCTTTTTTGGGTTGTTGGATGGAAAATTCATAACATGAGCTTTTAGAAAAGTTTGGTGTTGGGTGAGTGGAAAAAAATCAACGAAAGTTAAATGTTTTTGATGAGACGTAAAAAATGAGCTTTTAGAACAGGGGAGAAAAGCTGCGTTGAGAATTAGAATAGAAAGCCACCGGAAACATGGATTTTGACGAAAAGCTGACTTTCGTAGAAAAGCTTTAAAATGGAAAGTGATGAAGTGACTGTTGTGAAAAGTCAAGTTCAGGTTCCATGTAAACTAAGGTCCTGTTAATGTGATTGTCGGAGGAAAGTGAGGGCAAAAGAAAAACACCAATTCTGTGAGTGCCTTCTACAAATTAATGATTTGCATTAATTGATAATTAACTTTGTCATTCTGTTTATTACATCCCTAAATATTCGTCGCAGGCCCCATAAAGTATATATATATTCATAATCAGCACAAAATTCTAGGTTGGTTTAACGAAATCCCTCTGTTTGTCTGCCTGTCTGTTGAAATCATGATACAGCCCACATTATTTGACGCAGAGCTTCAAAGTTTGGCAGAACAATTTGTATTATGCCTAGGATGATTGGCATTGAAAATGAGATATATCGGTGCATGTTTTGGCATAGCCTCCCGATATTCGGTACTTTCATGATTTTTGCCACCTTTTCTCACTGATTTGTCTAAAAATTGGTATTTGTACTTCGCAATGGGTTCTAGCTTCGATGGCGGAAAATTGTATGTATAGGTCTATGTTTTTGTATAGCACCCATGTAACGGTATTTTGGTATTTTGCTGATATTTACTACATTTTCCCACGGATTTGTCTAAAAATTGGTATTTGTGGGTCATAATGGGTTCTTGCTCCGGTAATGCAACATTGTATGTATAGTCCCCACATAACGGTATCTCCCGACATGCGGTATTTTTATGATTTTTGGCACATTTTTTACCGATTTTGTCTAAAAATTTGTATTTATAGTTCGGAATGGGTTCTAGCTTCGATGGCGGAACATAGTATGTATAGGTCCCCGTTTTCGTATAGCCTCCAGATATTCGGTATTTTGATGATTTTTATCATTTAATTTTTCCATGGATTTGTCCAGAAATTGGTATTTGTAGTTCGGAATGGTTTCTAGCTCCGGTGGCAGAACACTGAATATTTAGGTCCACGTTTTTCTATAGCACACATATGACGACACCCACCGATATTCAGTATTTTGATAATCCTAGCCACATTTACATTTAGGTGACAATCCTTGAATTATAAAAATGTCTATGGAGGTTCCCGTTTAGATATGGCCCCCACATAACGGCCTCACCCACTTTATGGTTTTTTGAAAAGTTTAATAGCATTATCCAAACGTACCTACTGGTGTTTATAATTTAAAGTAGAACACGTTTGAAGTCAGATACTTTTATATAAAAATGTTTTAGAACAGTGTTGTTTTCTTTACCCAAAGGTGGAAGGTATTAAGAGTTCGACCCAGCCGGACTTCATGTTTTTTATTTGTTATTCAAACAAATTTAATTTATAAATTTGAAAAAATAAATTTAGAATTTGTGTTTTACGCAGACATACACAGGCCCCATGCTTAAAAAGTAAGATTGAAATTAGGCTGGGAAAGTAGGGTTAGAATGCAAATGCCAGGTTCAACTCATGAGGGCATATTCAATATTACGAAAATTGTTAATTTTCGGGCAAATATTATTTGCATTGAAATGTAGGGTGCTATAGAGAAATGGAGATGGAGAGTTCGGAAGAGAAGTGTATTATGGTCTTATTTATGCGAGTATTTATATATAAAGTTAAAATATGTTCCCTTAGATATTATTTTTTTATAGATGGATAGAATGGAGGTCAAACTTAATTTCTTTAAAAAAAAATTACAACACGAGTTGGACTTCTGCATATAAGTGGACCGGACAAATAAAATAAAAGGACTTCACCCAAATAAATTATTGACGGCCGTGAATAATAAATAGATCCCTCTCTTCTCCAATTATTATTCCAATGTATATGTGGTTGGTACGTATTTTTTAATACTTAAAGACCTTGATAAATAATCGTATAATGTCATTTAAATCCATTATTTGTTTTCTTTATTTTTCTATTCAGTCTATTTCGGGATAATTTTCCATACTTATTGGATTCAAATACCAAAAAAAACAAGATTTTCAAAATCCATTAAAATATGAATATGATTCCTCATTATTTCTCCATCAAACCTTAATCACAATAATTCCTGTTTTTACTCGATTGATTGAGGCCATTTAATACTCTTTTATTTAAAATCATTTGATTCATTGAAAACCCCCTACTTTCCCAGAAAAGCTGGAGAATTTTTTTTTGTTCTTTTAATTCAATAACAATAGATTTGTTTACAAATAGCTTTTCACTTAACTTAATGCCTGAAATCCTTTTTTATTTTTCATTTCTTTTCTAACACCTTCTCAGTGGGATTTCATTGAAATATGTACGTGTAAGGACACACAAATACGTGTATGCATGTGTGAGTGTATTGGTTGGTGTGAGCACCTAGTAGAAATATGATGAAATTGAATATCTTGAGACTATCGACGAGGGTGGGAGGCTACATGGATTGAAGACAAACTCTTAATAAATTATGCATTGCGAGTACAAAAGCTTTAATGTTTGCATTGCTCGCATGTATTACTTTCATTGCTCACATGTACTGGCACACAAAAACATACATGCATACACACCGTCCATACATTTAAGCAATATATGCATGCTGTTGATTTCCAAGGCGAGAGAGAGAGGGGGTGGTGCCTGAATGACGAACGTAATGAAGTTTGAAGAGAATAAAGAATAAACAAATTGTAAGCTATTTTCAATTTATTCACTTTATTCGAAAGATATTTGCATAAATATCTGGAATAAGTGGCTCAAGGAAGTTGTGGAGGTTTTTTCGTGTAGGAGGGAAATGTGCATATGTGTGGAGGAGAGAGAGATAGACGTCTGATCTACAATACAAATAAGTGAAATAGAGTTTTTCATATTACTACTGACAGATTTTTTAACATTTCTTCCAAAAGATGATGCAGTCATTTATTGAAGAATAGAGACAAATAATAAGTTCAGCGTTTTCAAATTATAAATCTGACCGCAAGTAAGGCACCTGAGTTGGTGAAGGTAAAATTACTTGAAGTTGCCAGGCGACTTTCAAAGCACTCAAGACAACTCCCATAAACCCAGGATCAAATTTGTTAACCAGATTGTAACAAAGCAGATGATAGAAGACAAAAAAAGGAAAGACAGGTTATAAGGGACATTTTTGATGGCAAGTGAACCTTAATATCCCAAAATTGAAGGGAACCCCTATATGTTAAAAAGGGGACTGAAAACGGACATTTTTCGCATAGGATTTCTTAAACCCAAAATGTGAAATGATAGGTATTTTGAATAGAGATTATGGTAGTCCTTTTATATAGAGAAAATCAAAAAAAGGAAATTCAGAAAATTTCTACAGACTGGGGTTCTGTGGTGTTGGAATCGGCAATGTACCCAGAAATGAATTCCAAACCCACTTCGTGGCTAGAATTTGCCAAAAATTAACTATTCCATTTAAAATATAAAAATGCAATAAAAGTGGAGGAGGCCTGAAATTTTCGTCCAGGATTATGATTTGAAAAAAACATTGAGTTCGGCCGGGACGACCCTTTGGGCAAAAAAAATTATATAAAAGTACCTGAATTCAAACGGGTTCCACTTTTTCCGTTCCGTTTGGATAAATCTGTTAAACTTTTCAAAAAAGTGGGTGAGGCCATTGTATGAGGGCCATACCAAAACGGAAACCTCTATAAACAATTTTATACTTCAAGGATAGTCATCTATCAAATCTTTTTAAATACCAAATTTGAAACAATTTTGTGGGTAGATGTGACTAGGGTTATCAAAATACCAAATATCGTTGGGTATATGTGCGCTATAGGAAAACGTGGACCTACATTTTCAATGTGCTGCCGCCGAGCTAGAACCCATTTTGAACTAAAAATATCAATTCTTAGACAAATCCGTGGAAAATGTGGCATAAATCATCAAAATACTGAATATCCGGAGGTACCATTATGTGGGGACTATAGGGATATGTCGACCTAAATTTTCAAAGTTCTGCCACCGGAGCTAGAACCCATTATGACTTACAAATATCAAGTTCAAAATACCGAATATATGGAGGTACCGTTATAATGGGGATATATAAATAGTGGATCTATGTATACAATGTTTCGCCACCGGAGCTAGAACCCATTACAAACCACCAATATCAAACTCTTAGACAAATTCGTGGAAAAATGTGGAAAAAAAACATTTAAATACTGAATATCCGGAGGTACCATTATGTAGAGGCTATACGAAAACGTGGACCTAAACATAATATGTTCCACCACCGGAGCTAGAACCCATTATGACCTACAACTACAATTTTTTAGACAAATCCGTGAAAGAAAAATTTGGCGAAAATCATCAAAATACCGACATATCTCATTTTCAATACCAACCATCCTAGACACAACATGGAGCGTATAATAATGCACTTATGCCTTTTTTAGAAGAGGAGGTTATACTGAGAATGCTACATTAGAAATTTCAAAGAAAAGGTAGTTAGGTTGACTTGTAACCCATTTTTATGACACATCATCCAAGATATAAAGTAAACTGCTTTACCAAATTTTAGAAGCGCTCTTAAAACAGTGTGGATTCAATCTTGATTTCAACAGAAGGACAAGCTTTTGTCTTGGCAACGTCCGTGAATAGCCTTTTGCATCATAAATTATTATTAACTTTACCAAGACACACTTCAATTTCCACCATATCTCCTTTCAATATTCAATTTACTTTCTTTAAAATATTTCCTTATAGCCCAAGATGAACTCAAGGGACCAGAGGTCTTTGATGAAGTTCCTAGATACCCAAGATAAAGATGCTACAACATACATCCACACATAAATTCCCTGTGATATTCACATTCCCATGGCCTTCTAGCATTCCTACCCTTTTTTGGAATATCACATTTCCCTTTAGGGTGAAAATCTTATTTAAATACACCAACTGATTGTGGGAAGAACACATCCTTCTTCACATATATTCTACTACAAAAGATCGAGCTGTGGGAATAAACATTTAGCTAACGACAATAACAACAAATTGAATTCCACACTCGTATGTTAAATAAGATTTAAAGGACCTGCTACCTACCCACCGAGCCACCCACCCCACTCACATCAGTCAGACATCTGTAGAGGTGTTTGTTCTCGCATTTAAGACACGTTTTTAAGGTAAATGTTTTGAAATGTTTTTCATGTTGAAGTATTTCTGTAATGGAATGGTGTGAATGCATGTGTGTGTGTATTCGTGTGTGTTTGTGTGAAATTACCCATTTTAAGGTAACAAATCATACCAACAACACCCCAGTAAACAATTTTTGCCGAATTCGGTCCGATTTCTGTCAGAATCTCTGAAAAAATGTCCGATTCTGATTCCGAATTCCTTCCGATTTCGGTACGAAAGTTGTATGGACGTGGTCACCGAATTCGGAAAGATTTTCTGAAAAAAATCTGAAAAAATATTAGATTTTCTGGACGAATTCGGTCCGAATTCGGTGAAAATTCTTGAAAAAATAGGAGAAAAAATTAGATTTTCGGAAAAGATTCGGAGGACAACTCCGAATTTCTGAAAGAAATCGGGCAGAATTCGTCTGGAAATTCGGCGGAATATTCAGATTTTCTAAAAGAAATCGGTCAGAATTCGAAAGAAAATTCGGAATAAAATTCAGATTTTCTGAAAAAAAAACGCTCAGAATTCGGGAGAAAGTTCCGATTTTCTGAAAGAAATCGTTCAGAATTCGGAAGAAATATCGAAAAAATCGTCACACCACTTAAAAATGAAAAAAAAAAAACACATATTTATTTAAAAAACAAACAATTTATTTCGGGTTTCGTAAAAATGTAGTTTAAATATTACATCTATAATACATTTACATTATAAATATTATTTTTATTAGGAACATAACATACAGTATTTTAATGCACAAAAGAGTTGAACAGATAACAGATAATTCAATTATTTGTTGTTATTATAATATAATTTTTGTAATTCACTGTATCTTTTTAAAACAAAAATAAAATTAATTCAGTCTTTCAGCCTAGGCTGATTCACAACAACAACAAAACGCACATTTTTACAACGGAAAATCTAACAGTTCACAATAACAATAACAAATAGCATTTTTGCTTTGCGCTTTGTTGTTGTTGAGATCTTGAAATGAATGATCACAACAACAACTACTATGGGAGAGAATGTGTCAAACCACCACCATCCGTTTACATGTGGGAGAGAATATGCCAGAGCAATAGACAATCTACTCTCTCCGTTTGTACATTTTTCGAGTTTTTTTCGCTTAAAAACACAGGAAAATGTGCAGAAATTCTAAAAAAAACGTTTAGAAAATCGGACCAATTTCTATCAGAAATTTCTGAAAAAAACGTCAGAAATTTCGGAAAAAAATCTAAAATCAGAGCAGTCGGAAAAAATTGTTTACTGGGACCTCAGCATCACCTGGGAGATGTGAGGTGAGAGAGGGGAGGAGTATTAAATCCAGACATGCACAAATCGCCTTGTGCATGTGACGGGGGAGGAGAGGTTGGGGATGCCAACAGCCAAGGCAGTAGCTGATATGGCTGATATCAAAACGAAACACGTTTAGAGAAAACTGTCATAAATTCTTTATACATTTTTTTATTGTAAATATATACTCGGCAATGGATATTTTGAAATAACAAGCACACACCAATACACGCACACACACATGCACTCAGGTACATTAATGCCCAACAATGTTTAAGAAAAACAAACAAACAAACAGAGAGACAGGCATTCTCTTGTATGTTTATTTAATTTTTAGTTTAGTGAAATGCGTCTCTCCCTCTCTGCCTGTGTGTTCGTGTGTGTGTGCGAGTAAGTGTGAGTTAGTGAGATGTGTGTTTATTAAAAGTGTCTTTTTATTTGTTTCCTTGGGGATATCTTTTTGGTGTAGATATGTTCTCAACATTACTCTGGGGGTAATTCTCCGAAGAATAAGAAGAACAAGACGAGTAAAGCAACAATTTAGAAGAACAACAGCAAACAATGCCAATGTCAGTGTTCTGTTTTTATTTCATTTCGCTATCAGCAAGTTCCCAGCCATCCAAGAGCGGAATGGCTGCATGTTTGCTAACACTTAATGGAATCCAATTCAAAAATAAAAGATTGTTTCGCTTTTTTTGTTGTCTTGTCGTGCAGGATCAATATCGTTAGGAAGAGTAATGACAAGATGTGTGTGATATTTCAATCAGAAATTGCAATTACTGTAAAGTGTCATTTAATGCAGGCTTGCTTTTTGAAATGAAAAAATATTATGATGGCAGATATGCAATGGAACAAGTTAAAAAGTATCGACAGATGTATACCCTCAGCCAATATTCGATTATTTAAATATATTTTAACTCCTGTTACGATTATTCAAATTGTTGACCCTCCATGGAGCAGGTTTCGAAGAAATGGGTCAGATTTGGATTATATCGGTTACTTCCTACCCTTTACATGAGATATGTGTTATTTTTTAAAAAAATGTTAAAAAAATGCTTGAGGTACTAGAATTTGTCAACTGAAGCATTCCATTTTTAGACTTTATACAATAGAGATAAAAATATGGGCATGGGAAAATTACAAGAAAATCTAACATTTATATCCAATTTTATGCGACATCATAAATTCCATATTCATCCCAGGTTTCCGGTTGAAAGAAATTTTTAGGTATAAAACGTCGTAAAGAATAGCTGACTTGTTTGAGAATTGTGACCCTTTGTGGATGGGGTATCAGGAGGGGTTCGCAGATATATGTAATCTTCACATTAGATCTTCTGTTGGCAAAAATGTTTGTATGTGTGCAATTTTAAGAGAGAACGCCTTTTTGAGGAGGTACCAAAAGAAATGGCCCGATCTCTACCATATTTATTACAGGTGTTGTGTTAATGAGTATTGAAATATTCCAAGTCTGAATGGAATCAGATTTTTCGCGAAAATTTCCCATTTTATGAGCTTCATGGATATTCCAAAATTTTTACCCTTTGTGGGGTAGGTACCAGAAGGAGTGGTCCGATATATCCCATCTTCACAGCAGATGTTGTCTTATTAAAAATAAAGGGATGTGTGAAATATAAGGAGAACGGATTATTTCGGATTCTATGATCGTTTTGGTTATTCAAAACTTTGACCCTTTGTGGGGGACGTGATCCGATCTCTATCTTCTTTATAAGAGTTATAATTATTCGAAAGTTTTACCCTTTGTTGGTACCTGACGGAGTTGACCGATATTTTTTATTTTTGCACCTATCCTAGAACTGATGCTAATATTAGGATTTGTAAAGTTGTAGCAAAATCGGATCATCCTTTCTTTTTCTGTGCAAAAAATATATATTTTTTTTTGAAAATTTTGATCTTTTGTGGGGGAGGTGCCAGAAGGAGTGGACCGATATTGCCCATCTCCGAACTCGATCTAAGTTTGGCAAAAATATTACGATGTACCAAGTTTGTCCAAATCGATTACTCCCTTCGAGAGTTATTGTGCGCACCATTCAGACATAGGGACGGATGAACATTGCTAGATCGACTCCAAATATCCAGAAACGGATTTGGTCCAATTAGAACTGGGATCTAAAATAGTTAATTTGATGAGGCCATGTGGATGAGGGTATACAAATGGATATCATATTAATATCAGTTTTTGGGTTAAAACTGTTTCATAGCAGATTTGTGAGAGAAGCTCTTAATTGATACCTTTCTCTTAACTCATTCACAATTTCAATAATCCGAGATATCATAGCAGCTTTCTGGGGTTTCCGATGACTTTGCCAGGGAGTTGCAAAAGAAAAAATCTCTCTATCTAATGAAGGACAAATTAACCCATTTTTAGTATCTACAATATTTCGCATAACTTTGACCGAACGTTATACATTAAGTTTTACACCGACCTAACTTATAGCAGTTTTGTTGCTAAAAGCGTTGTTGTGCCTTATGAATAACTGTCTGAGTACTATAATATTTTCTGAAGGAACATTCTCCATGTCTACCCTCCTTATCCCCCACACCCATGCATACCACATATTATTGATCTTCAAAAAATCCACTTATGTAAATACCCTTCAACTGAACTGAAGTTGCGTTGAAAATTCCGCAAAATGAAATATGCATAAAACTTTGTTTCTTTATTTTTTATTTTTTTGCATTTTTGCTTTTCAAAATCTCAATTAAAACAGACATTTGAAAAATGTTGTAAACCGTGGCTGTTGCTGTTGTTCTCTTCTTTGGTTATGCCATTTTTCAACTTCTGCTGGTTCATAGATCATTGTTCAGACGGTGCAGAAGGCAGCCCTACAAAAAAGAAAAAGAAAAACAAAAATGTAAAAACTAGCAACAAACTAAGGCAACAATAATCAACTCGAACAAAAACTGTAACAATTTTTGACGTTTGTTACTTCCTGTTGCATACTGGCAGCGTGGCAAGAAAAAACTGAAACCCTTCACTGCAATTCATTCGTTTGTTCGTTCATAGTAAATTCCGCCCTTTCTTCCACCAGCCGCCGTCAACAACAAGAACTTGTTTGTGGTTGGCGTCGGGCGGGGATTTGTTTCAATTTCTTTTCTTTTAACTGACACTTCCGTTTCCGTGCACAACACTTAAGCATTGGCGAGCCATGAAAACGATGGTATGGCAAAGGGATGCAGGAACCCCAATGTAGAACATTGGCCCATAACTGGTGGCAGAGGAAAAAATATATAACAGACTAGAATGCCATGCCAGTGGGGTCAGCAGTTGGACCAAGTTATTAAAAATAAAAACTCTGAACCGTGAACTGTGGCGAACAAAGGCCACGAAAGAACGGCAATATTAAAAGCAATAAACAAAATAAAAATAGAATAAAAATAGTAAACAAGCAATGGTGGCGCCCAAATGAAGGTTGTGCCACTACATTGAAGTAGAAAACGGACAAGACTTTTGCCAGACAAAAGAAACGCCCATTAAAAGTCATTAAACTAAAACTTTGCTTAAAGAATTCTCCTTTTTGCCAAAATATGACATAGACCTGTTGATGTCTGCGGACATTCACTCGTCTGCGCCAAATGATGCTGAAAATTAAGGAACTACTTAATTATATTACTGTCACCACTTGGACAAGTAATTTATATTCCCATCCCCCCAAGGTTTTTGTAGAGCGAAATGGTTGGTTTCTTTAAACCTAGAGAAGTTCAGTGCGGTATGAGAGAAAATTTTACATGACAGGGAAGATTTTATGTTGGAGAAGATGTTTTTTGTGGAGAAATTCCATAATTTCCATACTTTTAAACAAGTAAAAAAGAATCGGTCGGTCTGGCCGACAAATGTATATTCTCAGACAATATTCGATTTTTGAATATATTTTGACTTATGGTATGGTTATTCAAATTGTAGACCCTTTATGAAGTAGGTTCCGAAGGAATGGACCAATATTGTCCATTTCCTATTGGAGCTAAATAAATATCACATCAATATTGCGACGTGATACGTGATAAATCTTAAACCCTATGTGGGGGAGGTACCAGAAGAAATGGTCCGATCCCTTCCATCTTTATGAAAGATCTTGCATTGATGGAAATATTGGAATGTACCAAGTCTGAATTGAATCGGATGTTAATTTCGCGTTTTATGAGCTTCATGGATATTTAAAATTTTGACCCTTTGTGGGGGAGGTACCGGAAGAAGTGGACCGATACAACTCATATCCACAGCAGATCTTGTTTTGGTAGAAATATAGGGATGTGTGTAATATGAAGTGAATCGCATGCTTTGTTCGGATTTTATGATCGTTTTGATAATTCAAAACATTGACCCCACAAGGAGGTACCAGAAGGGGTGGACCGATATACTCCATATTCACAAAAGAGATTGGGTTGATAAAAGTATTGTGATGTGTGTAATTTGAAGACAATCGGACTCTAACATCACACTTTATAAGAGTTATAATTATTCAAATTCCCTTCAAAGACCCTTTGTAGGGGAGGTAATTGATGGAGTGGACCGATATTGTCGATTTTTACACCTGATCTAGCGCTGATGCAAATATTAGGAATTGCAAAGTTCGAGCAAAATCGGATTATCCTTTTTCAGAGGTATCAGAAGGAGTGGACCGATATTATCCGTCTCCAAACTCGATCTAAGTTTGATAATAATTTTACAATGTACCAAGTTCGGACCAAATCGGATATTCCTTCGAGAATTATCGTACGCACCAGCCAGCCAGACAGACAGACGTACGAACATCGCTAGATCGACTCCAAATGTCTTGAAACGGATTTGGTTCAAAGAGACCTAGGGTTTAAGCCCGTTAGTTCGACTAGGCACTTTTTGGTCGCATCAAATGATATATACCCTCTGTAGGATATAAATATAAAGCCCTCTGTTTTACATATTTTCAATTGAACTATTTACATCTGAATGAGGGAAGAGTGTCACAATTAGCCATACATAACCAGCTAGGCCTGATCAAGGATCGAAGACTATCTGAAATATTGCAACTTGATATGAGTTAACTGTGGACAATGATTAAAACGACCTCAAACCCTAGTAAATTAGAATGATCGGACCTCAGTCACAAAACGGTCGGCTAGGCGAAACCAGAATGGAGACATCTAAACACTAATATGGTGGATGAAACCCCCAAGAGTATAAGACCGGGTTTCTTATTGGACAAGTTTTTAAGGCAGGTATGAATAGTGTTTATACAGATACTTTATTCGATGTTATATACCGCCAACAATGTTTAGGTTGGGAGTGAATTGCTGAAAAATTTAATGAAGAGAAGCTACATCAATGGAAACAGATATAGCTTTTCTTCAATAATTTTCCAGCATCCTGTTCACATATGTTTTCACATAAGTCCAATAATCCACTCCAAAAATCGTCTTAGTCCATTAGCAATATATAAACCTCCTTTCACAAAATATTGTATCCTTTAGCACCAACATTTTGCGTCCTTGCCATAAAATAAAAGTAAATTTTTATATATTTTTTTCATTTGCAAAATACTTTCAGAAGAAAGTTTCTTTTGATAACTATATCAGCAAAACGAGTTGGATGTCCTGTCATTCATCATCATTTGTTTTGTATTGTTGCACTCACTTAAGCACAGTTTTGAGAGGAAAAAACGAACGAAACTTTTTCCCATGAGCAGATAAAGGCAATTTACATATTACATATTGTACATGGCACAGGACACCGGAAGGATGTGTTGGCAGTTAAAATATGAGGCTGCAGCAGACAGATGGGAAGAGAGAGAAAATAAAAAAGTTTCCTTTAAGGCAGTGGCATAGCTGGAAGTTTTGGGGATTTAATGGTGTTTTGGTTTAAGGGTCCTTGGAAGGAAAAATTGCAGAATTAAGAAGGTATCCTCATTTCAAAAAAGTATGTATATCCTTCTGGAATATTTTATTCTGTACCTTACCATCCTGTTAGTTGGCCATCTACGCCTGTGTTTTGGAGTTGTCTCCACTAACATTGTAATTTGATATTTCTTTTTGTTGAGGAAAATAAAACTTTATTCTCAAAACTTTTCTTTACAATAGCATTTAGTGCAAGATTCTGTCCATAAAGATTCTTAAATCTCACATGGCACAATGACATGTGTCATTAACAATAGTTAAGAAATTTTATTCCAGCATTTTGTTTTTGTTTTTTTTCAGATAAAAAAGTTATTAAAAACCAAAGCCAGTATATCCGTTTGGCGATGAAGATTATCATAAATATTGTCTGATGGTTTGGTATTAAAGTCTTGGTTCAATGGTCCTTGAATCAATTTTCCATTTTTCCATTTTCATTGTTTTCGCCATGACTTTAAAATCCAAGGCAACCAACCAACCAGCCAGCCAGCCAGTGCAGAGCAGACAAGAAGTAGAAGCATGAAAGTCTTTGACTTCAAGGGTTTATTGCCAACACAATGTTTATGTTTATGTTTATGATGATAAAAACACGCTTTGGAGCTTTCCAAAGCCATAAAAATGGTGACACATGCATGCACCCACACACACACACACACACAAACATTCACTTGACTTTGGCGAGTGCTAAAAAGGTAGATTAGTATCTATTAAATGTTGTCACGCATTCTGAAAAACACAACAACAGCAGCAACGAGAAGCAAATAGCTGTTGCCAATGCCAAAGATATCTTCAAGGCACCAAGCAACCAGTTGGCCATATCGCATTATCCTTTCTCTCACCACATCGTCAGCCACTATCGCTGCCATAATCCTTGGCAAAAGAAAAAAACACAAAAAAGCGAGAATAATAAAAAAACGTGTAAACACAAGAAACCTGTCTCAGACATTGCGTTTAGCACGTAGCCACGTTTTTTTTCTTCCCTACTTTCTTTTTGCTTTCGGAACGGGTGTAACATATCCCAACCACATCAATGACAGCCGACACCATTGAAATCATATGCAGCAGGTAGCAACCACAAGGAGAAGAAAAAAAAACTGGAGATATAATCATCAGTTTCGTCATTATCATCATCATTGGGGACAGCAGGAGCAACAAATGGCAGGGGAAAAGCTGAATCAAAGAGAGCTACTGTATTATTTTTTCTATAGAAGGGGTATTTATGATGTAGAAATTGTAAATATTTTGTTAAGGAGGAAGTGAAATTGATCTTTAAAATTAAAACAGATAAATGTAATAAAATTAAATAAAAATCGAAACAAATTTATAACAAATAGCATGAACAGAATTCTTGAAACCCACAATCGACAAAAGTAGATTTATACACTTTTAAATTTTCCTGTCACCACCGATATCTGACATATTTATTGGATTTGGTAGAAAGCATTAAAAAACTAAGGAAATTAGGTTAGAAATTTTTAAGAGTTTGACTCAATTATACTTTTTTGGTAATTTTGAAAAAAAAAAATCTGGAAAAAGTTGCATTAGTTTCTCGGAAACGGGTTTCTGTATATGGTTCAAATTGCCTTATAGGATTGTTTTCTTTATGAAATGTAAAAATTAATTTACGTGGCAGAACTACGACACGAGTTATTTAAGATTTAGTGGACTAGAAATGTTATAGAATCGAAAGGGCACTTATACCCCTGGTCTCTTTGGACGAAATTTGGAATTGATCTTACAATAACTGTTGGTTTGTCTGTGGGCAGTATTGAAAGGAGTATTCAGTTCGGTCCAGAGTTGAGACTTTATAATATTTTTTTTCCAAATATAGATCGGTTTCGGAGGTGGATCAATATCGGTCCACTCGTTTTGGTACCTCCTTCAGAAATGTTCAAAAATTAAAAAAAAAAAAATAAAATAAATCAAATCTCATCATGGAGGTACTCGATTTCGGTCCT